GGGTGGGCAGGGGCTCCAGGGGCCCCTTCCTTGGCATGGAGGGTGCCACACATGAGCCACACCTCACAGGCACCCCTGCACCTGGAGAGAGCCAGGTGTGGGTGGTGGATGGGCACGAGGTGTGGCACAGGGCCTTCATGGACACGGACATGGCCCTCCAGCCCCAGACAGCGCTGACCAGCCAACCCCACCCTCTACAGAGACCTGGGCACTTCCCTGGCCCACTTGCAGGTGCTGTGGCTGGCTTGCTGTGGCCTGACCGACCTGGACGGCATTGGCTCCTTCCTGGCCCTGAAGGTGGGTCTTTGGTGCCCTGGGCTGGGGAGAGGGTGCCCGACCAAGCCCCGGCTGAGCGGCGCCCCGGCTGAGCCCCCTGCCGCCTAGGAACTCTACGTCTCCTACAACAACGTCTCAGACCTGAGCCCGCTGTGCCTGCTGGAGCAGCTGGAGGTGCTGGACCTGGAGGGCAATAGTGTGGAGGACCTGGGGCAGGTGTGCTACCTGCGGCTGTGCCCGAGGCTGGCCACGCTCACCCTGGAGGGCAACCCGGTGTGCCTGCGGCCAGGGCCCAGCCCTTCCAACAAGGTGTGTGTCTGGGCCCCCAGCAGCACGTGCACCGGAGGGGGAGGCACTCTGGGGTCCCCCGCGGTCCCAGCGGCCTCTCTGCCCACCTGAGCACAGGCCATGTCCAGGCTGGGCAACAGGGGCAACCCCAGGGCACGTCTCCAGGGCACAGCCCGCCTGCAGGAGGAACTTGCCCACCATAATAACGCTCATCCTCTTGTATCGCTGAGGACCCTCTGGGTCCCAACCAGACCCCACAGAGCCCCCAGCCCATAACACAGCCCCGTGGGGTCTGTTCAGGCAGCACACGGACTCACGCACGTGCACATGCACACACACGCAGGCCCGAACCCTCTCCATCCCCTGGGCGTGCCCTCGGTGGGAATGCACTCACACACCGTGGGCTTGCGCACACCCTCCGCAGCCGTACCCCCAGCACTGCCCATGCACACCCAGCTCTCACGCTTCCTGCCCTAAGAGGTGCAGCGCCCGTGTGCAGTGGCTGCCCAGCTGGGCCACAGCTCTGAGCTCAGGGCAGTCCCACAGGCCAGAGGACACCACTGGGCCCTGGCTGTGAGTCTGGAGAGTGAGCTCGCATGCGGGAGAGAGCCCAGGGTCCCCAGAGTCCCTGCTGGCTCAGAGTGACCCAGGCCAGCCGGGCAGGGTGGGGCGGCATCACCAACACTCAGCTCCCCTGCTTTGCCCACAGAGGGCCTGGAGAAAGCCCCACAGGACAGAGCTGGCCTGAGGGGCCCCCCGGACCCAGGCCTGTCGCACCCTCCACCCCGCAGGTGCTCCGGGGCTACAACTACCGGACGGAGGTGCGGAAGCAGATTCCCCAGCTGCAGGTCCTGGACGAGGTTCCGGCTGCGCACACAGGCCGGCCGGCCTCCCGGAAGCCGGGCCAGGACTGGCTCATGGTGAAGGAGGCCATCAAGGAGGGCAGTGTCCTGGATGGCCTGCTCCCTGGGCTGGGTATGGCAGCCACTCACCAGCTCTCTGGCAAAGACTGCCTCACCCAGCCCGGACCCCTCACTGGCTGAGCTCCAGAAGAGATTGCCAGCCCCCACCATCCCCAGGGAGAGAGCTCTATACCCCCAGCACCCCCCAGGCCTCATAGAGATGGATAGCCACATCTCATATCCCTTCTTGGCCTTACCTTTTTGTTCCCAGAGCCCTGCACGCTCGCCCCCAGGCCAGGAGAACCTCCCCATGGGCAGCGCCTGGTGGGGCACAGACGTCCAGACGAGAGACGTTGGGTGGCAGGGGTCCCTGGTCTGTGGAGAGTTCTGGCGGGGGGTGGGGTTCTTGGGCTGGCCAGCTGGTGTGGGTTTCCATGACCTCTGATTTTGACCCTCGGGCAGATTGTCCCCACGGAGCCCCCATTCAGAGACTCCGCTCCGAGCTCTCCTTGCCTGAGACCCAGCCATGGACCCCCAGGCCATGGCCGCTCTCCCTACTGGTCAGTGGGGGTCCCCTGCCTGAAAGCCTGCTTCCCAAGGACCCAGCTCCAGAGGGGGACACAAGCAACCTCACCCATGGTAAGGAACGCATCTCAGCACGAAGCTGACCCTGTAGCCCTCAACCCCAAAGCAGAACTGGCCACACCCTCTTCTGCAGGGGCTAGTCGAGTCCTCTGCGGGAACCCCACCAAAGGCCTGTGGGAGCGTCGGCACCAGTGCCAGGTAGGCCTGCTACCACAGCTGGGTCAGGACTCCAGGACATCCGCAGGGGACCTGTATCCCAACCTGACAGTCCCCTGCCCCACAGCCACTGCCGGCCAGAGGCTCCGGCTCTCTCACAGCAGCCAGAGCAGCCCTTCTGTCTTCAGGGGACTCCCCGCCCAGCCCCCTTGAAGGCTGTGACCCCAAGCCAGCCCCTTCTCTTGCCAGGCCTGGCTGGTTCCAGAGCAGCTGCGCCCACCCAGACTGAAGGACCCAACTGCCGGTGTCCCCAGCCCAGGGCCCGATCCTACAGAGAGCAGTGAATCCCCGGCCTTGGCTAGGCTTCCGGCCTGCAGGGAGTTGCGCCCGCGGTGGGTAGCCCCCCACCGCAGTCGAGACCCACCGCCACATGTCCTGTGTGGTGGGAGGTCGTGGCTGGGGACAGCCTTGGTACCAGGTGGGCGGGAGGAGTGGGCCACGGGAGCCTGAGGTTGGGGGATCAGACCAGGGGCACACTCATCTAGGACGGGCTCTAAGGGCAGGGCTGCAGCCCCCTTCTCCCACTCTAGCCCCCTCCCTGGTAGGTCCCTGGAGCCCGAGCGGGAAGGTGCCGTAGCCCCCTGTGGCCCACGGAAGGACAAGTCTAGGCCCAAGACTCCCTCCGGCACGCTGTGCCCAGTCCCAGGTATCGAGTGACCCCACACACTGCCCCACACCAGCATTCATCAGCTTGGGCCCCCTTCCCCAGCGGGACTCGGATAGCGGCTGTAACAAGGCAGTCCTCTCCTGAGGGGGGCACTGCTTACACTCAAGAGCTTCCAGCCCCAAGTCCTCCTCCCTGAGCCCACGGGGTCACAGGGTGTTGTGAGCGGGGAGTCTGGACCGGAAGAGGGCAGGGTGGCAATGAGTGGCCAGGACAGGCCCACTGGGCAGGGAGCAGGACACAGGCCAATGCAGAAAGAGGCCACCAGATGGGCCAGGAGACTATGGTGGGGAGGGTGCTGCCCTTATCCTGCTCCTGGGGCCTGTGCTGGGCTCAGAACACTGGCTCCAGAGAGACCATGGCTGAGTGGGACAAACACAGGAAGGACCGCAAGCCCGTGGAGGCTTCCCAAAAGAAGGGTCAGGATTGACTGGTAGAACTGAGTGGGCACGCCTGGGAAGAGGCCTTGTAAGCAGGGGGCTTTGGCTGAATGGCCCTCCTTTGTGGTGGGGAGTCAAAAGGGCCAGGATGGAACAGGGACATGACAGACAAAGCCTCTGGCTTCCATGTGCTGGCAGGTGCCTGGGGGAGAGAGGGTGGGCCCTGAGACCAGCTAGTCAAGCACTGTCAGTTAAGGGGGTCGGGGGGGCCCTTGAGGGAGAACAGGCAGGGCAGCCAGATGGAGGAGTGATGACAGACAGTGGGGACTCAGGGAAAAAATGTACCAGAGCCTCCCACTCCAGGCCGGGTCCAAGTAGGCACAGGGTGACCATGGCTATACCGTCCAGTTTGCCCGGCATTGCGGAGGCAGAGGGAGGCACCAGGGGCTCACTCTATAGAGAGGCTTAGAACCTGGCCCGGGAACACACCCTTGGGGCTGGGATCCAGTGACCCAAAACCAGAACCCAGGTTTTGTGGCCTCTGCAACCCCAGCAACTATCAGCTGTCACAGGGCTGCAGAGACACAGCTTCCCAGGGGAGCAGAGGAAGTGGGAGAGAGGGATGCTGCCTTGCAGGGGGGTCGGGGGGGCTAGGGGGCGGAGCCATGTGGACACTACCACCTTGCCTGTGGTGACCCCCCACCACACCTAGTGATCCCTATGGGGTCCCTTGTCTGACAAGCTGTCTTTCCTTGTTCTCCAGAGCCTTCCAGGACCTTGGGCTATAACCTGACACCCTCTCCCCCCAAGATGCCCATGCCTTCTGATTCTAGCAGCAGCTCCTGGGGCTCCACGGGCCTGCAGTCCCGGAGGCGGAGGCTCAGAGCCCTGTGTAGCTTAGGGCCTGGCCTGGGGCAAGGGCCTGGCCTAGGGCAGGGATTAGCTACAGTGACTGCAGCTCTGAGAGCTCTGGAGGTGACCTCAGGCCCAAGCCCTCCAGCCCAAGGATGTCCAGCCCCAAAGCCAGCAACAGATCCAGCAGCCAGACCCCCTGGCCTCCCGTGCTTGCCGCACCTGAACCCTATCACCCCAGCCCAATCCCACCCCTAGTGTAACACCCCCATCCACTGCCAAGCTGGCCTCCACCAAGGGCCAAGGAGCCCCAGTGTGGTTGTGGGAGCCCCATGTGAACTCTGGCTTCATGGAACACAGAGCATCTTGCTGGGGGGGGGGGGTGTTGGGGGATGGGTAATGGGCTTGAGGTAGGAGAGATCCTTCTTGGTGGAGGGGAGTTGGGGGTTGGAATCTCCAGCTGCAGGCACAAGAAAGAGCCCAGGCTAAGAGAGCCCAGGTCCCCAGCACAGGCCCAGCTGCCGGCTCCTTCCAGCGAGGCCCACCAGCTCTCTGGCAGGCCGTCGCCAGATGCCAGGGTGCGGCCAGGCCTCCCATTGGAGGGGGGGTTATTTGCGCAGTTCCTAGCCCACGCAGGGATGGGGCAGGCAGCTCCCTTCCCTTGGGGCAGGGTACCCCAAAACCAAGCAAACCCTTCTCGACTCTCAGGTGTACATGAATGCTCTTTACTTCGTAGGCGATGTTGGTTCAATAAACGCTGCCACCGGCACGGCCCGCCTCCCCCGCCTCTCTCCCAGCGCCGCCCCTCGGCCCAGGCGCCCGCCGGGTGCAGCCAGCCTACAGCCGCGGCCTCCTGGCGGCGGTGACCGGCGGGCAGGGAAGGAAGCGGAAGCCGTATCTGCTCTCAGCCGCGCTCTGCACCGACAATGCCACCATCGGGCAGCCCCGGTCCACGCCCTTGCAGCACACCTGGGGGCGCAGAGCCTCAGAGGCGCGCGGGGCCAGGGCGGGGGCCTGCGCGGAGGAAGGGGCACTGCCGGTAACGGGAGGGGTCCAAGGTGCGCGGGCCGGGGCGCGCGCACTCACTCACCCGGACCCTGGGCTCCTTCCCAACCTGGCAGTCCTCGAGGAGCAGCCCGGCCTCTGCGGGGAACAATGACCGCGTGGGGTCTGGCCGGCCTCCCCCATCCTCGCCGGGCCGCCCGCCGCGCACTGCGCGCTCACCGGGGATGGCGGGCAGGAGCTCCGGCGCCGGCGTCTCGGCGGCCTCGGACGGCGCTGGCACCACCCCCGGGCGGAAGGTCTTGCTGGCGCTCAGCTGGGGGAAGAGGCCCCGCGTCCTGGTGGAGCGAGGCGCTCGTGAGATCCGAAGCCCGCCTGCGGGAAGGGGCGGGTGGGGGGGTGCGAAGCCTGGAGAGGCCGAGACCTGGGGAGGCATTTGGTGTCCTGACCAGGAACCAGCCTGCGGAGCGGCCCCCAGAGGGGATTGGACCTGAGGTGGTGTACGGCCCTTAGCAGGGAGTCTAGGGTGTTACAAGGGGGGTCCTGGGAGGAAGTGGAGACCAAGGGACCCGCGGAGCCCACCTGGGCCTCTGCCGTCTGGTGGGGGCCTCCTGCACCCTGCCTGCCCGCAGCTGCCAAGGACCGGGCCTCTGCGTGCAGGTGTCAGCCACCAGCCCGGCCTCTGGGAGCGGGAAGCGGTCTATGGACAAATCAGTGCTGTCAGCGAAGATCCTCGAGGCGGGGGACACGCAGTGGGCGGCCTGATGCTCGCTCAGGACCTGTGGGCGGGCCAGGAGAGGCACGGGGGTCACCCCTGTCCACCGGGGCTCACTCCCACCCCACCTCCAGCTAGGATGCACACTGACCTCGCCCTTGGGGTTCAGGAGGAGAGTCACACAGCCCCGGCTAGAGTGGAAGTGCACGGGCTCCTGGCCCAAGGATGAGGGCAGGTGCTTCTTGGTGCTGCGGGGCCCCTCGCCCCAAACCTGGTGGACATGGCCAGGGGTTGGGTGAGCAGCGGTGCAGGCCTGAGCCGAGGCCACCGCGGGGTTGCAGGGGGCAGGGGGCGGGGACACACTGTGACATGGTGGCGCGGAGGCAGCAGCGTGCGGGGCGGGAAGCGGTACATGCACACAGGAAAGCCGTGCTCCAGCTGCTGCAGCGTGAGGCCACCCAGGTCCGCAGTCTCCTCCAGCGACTGGTTGAGGACACGCACAAACCTCTCCCGGGCACTGACTGCCACAATCTTCAGGCAGGAACACCCTGGGCTGGGGTGAGGTGTGAAGAGGGTAGGTGCACTACGCAGAGAGGCTTGGCCACCCCTCTGGTGCATCCTGGTTGGAGACCCCCTCCTGCCAGGACCCCGCCAGGTCACCCCTCACCTCCAGGGGCGCCCTGAATGCGGGTGCTCAGGAACTGCACAGGGCTCCCCGGTCAGGGTCAGGACTGTCCTACCTGGCTGGTCCTGCTGGGCCATCCTGAGATCCAGGGAAAGACCTGTTGGAAGGGGCACCCCGTACACCGCACGCACTGTGGACATCTCCTGCGAGGCCAAACTGACGCACAGCACCCCGCAGGTGCACTGGGGAGAGGCAGAGCTCTGGAGCTCAGATCCAGAGCAGGAAGGCTGGACCCGGGAGGCTGAGGGAAGCAGAGGGATAACTCCCAAGTACGAGGGGGTTGGGTGGGTAGCCAGAGTGCACAAGCAGCAAGCAGGTACCCTCCAAGACCACCCTAACCCCCAGGGATGAGACTGGAGAGGCCTCAGCGACCTTGCTCCAGGCAGTCATGAATACCAAGCTGTTGGGGGACACGCTATTAGGGCTTTGGGCAGAGATCACAGCCTTGCAGGGGGGCAGTAACTAGAGAAAGCTGCTGCGCCCCACCTCCAGACTGTGTCTGCATTTCCCTGCTGAGGCTCCTGGAGCTGGCCTCCGTTAGCTTGTCATGGCTTGGCGTGCATGGGGGGTGTCCTGTCACCTTCTGCACACAATAATGCTCAGCCAGCTGGCCACTGCTGGAGTCGGAGTCCGCGCCCCCAGAGCTGCTCGTGCCCATGAAGGGCAGGGAACTCCACTCGACACTCTTGAGACGCTGCTCTGTCCCTGGTCTGCGCAGCTCCGAGCCCCACTCGCTCAACAGTGGGGTCTCTGGGGGTGGCAGGGGCCGTGGGTGCCTGTGGGCCACAGTCTGCTGATCTGCTTGCTGCTGTTGCCTTTGACTTCTAGACTCCAGCCCCGCGCCCATCTAGCCCCCCCCAGGGGGTGGGGCACCCTGGTACCTGGGGGTGGGGGAAGGGGAAAGGGCTCCTGGAAAGACTGTGAGGGCTGAGGAGCCCCTTCCCCTCACTGTGAACCCCGTCCTACAGATGGGAGAGCTGACCTTGGAAGGTAAAAGTGACTTGTCCTCGGATACTAATGGTAGAACTTGGACTCTGGTCCACATATGCCAAGGCTCTCCCCGCCCCCACCCCGCAGCCCTGGAGGGGTGCACAAGGAGCAGTTACTTTGGGTCTGAGCTGGACTCCATGTTGCTGAAGAGGTTGGGATACCGCTGGGCAATGCTGCTCCAGTCCACGTCCTCCAGCTGGAAACCCTGGTCAGGAAGCAACAGGCACGTGGCCCTCTCCTCCCACAGGGCTGCCGGCTATGAGAGCACATGGGGGACCTTGCTCACCTCTCTTACCTCCCGAGTGGAGGGGCCCTGTTCACTCTCAGAGACGTCGCTGAAGTCCATCAGGGTTTCTGCAGTGACCACCTGCACACGGGGAGCGGAGACCAGTGGGCAGGGGCTGGGGGAGAGAGGCGCTCTCCTTTGACCTGGCTAGGCACAGGTTCACAGTGAGTCAGGTGGGTGGAACCAGGGGGTTCCTCCCTGCCCCGTGGTTCTGAGGGGAGACAGGCTTCCCAGGCAGGCCAGCCCCACCAAAGGACCCAGAGGAGAGACAACAGCTACCCAGGGGACGTCCAAGGAGGGTTGGGGAGGGGAACACAGGAGGCGAGCGGGTGGGCCGAGTGGGGCTTACCTCCACACTGCCGGTGGAGGAGCGGGCCAGCTGCAGGAGGCAGGACTTCTGGAAGGCCTGCAGCTCAGCCTCCAGCTGCTGCATGGCGGTCGCGGTCTGCAGCAGACGTTCCTCCAGCTGGGACTTCTCCTGCTCCCAGAGGGTGCATAGGTGCGCAGGGTCTTCTCCAGCTGCTGACCCCCCAAGGCCAACCCCTACCTGGGCCCTGCCCCTCACCCCAGCTTGGGTCCCCTCCCCGACTCCCTGGTCCCTCCTGCCCCTCACCAGCTGGGCCTGTTCCTTCTGCTTTTTCAGGTCCACAGTCAGCTTTTGGACCTGATTTTGCAGGAACTTTTCCTGATTACGGGCACTCCTGGGGGAAGGGGCAATCGTAGCAGCCCCCGCCTCTAGGTCAGCAGCCAAGGAAGGGAGGAGGGGCCCCTCTTCCCTGACACTGGGGTCCCAAAGGCATAGGGTTCCAGTGAGCCAGGCCAAGTCTGGCTCTGAGAGGTCTGGGCTGCAGGTGGGGTCTAGATGCAGCAACTCTCAGTGTGTTTGGAGTCAGGGTAGAGGATCAGGCTTCAAATGAGGCTTAGGCCCAGAGTAAGAAGTTGCAGTGTCAGTCAGGACCGGTGGTTGGGGATGGGGGTCAGACAAAAACCAGTTTGGGCCAGGACAGAGGCGGGGTTGGGCTGGGGGACTAGCACTTTGCTGGTCACCTCTCAGGTGGAAGCCCAGCCACCTCACGCAGGACGTGGCAGTGCCGGGCATCCTGGCGGTTCTGGACGGCCCACCGCAGAGCCTGGATCTCCAGCTCCCGTTGGCCCCACAGTAGCCGCAAGGTGCGAGTGTCCAGAGACTCAGGGGCCAACCTGCAATGGCAGTGATCAGGCCCTGCCCCCTAGCTGGCCAGGCCCAAGTGTCTGGCCACCCATCCCTCCCTTCCTTACTGTAGGTTGACGGAGAAGACCCCCTGTGTAGAGCTGGGCTTGGCGTCCTGTGCGCATGTGGGACCCCCCGGCTCCGGAGGTGCGCCCACGGGAGGCTCCAGGTGGGCGCTGACCAGCTCTTGGTCCACCTGGGTTAAGGGAGCCTTTTTCTCGGCTTCTTGATCCTCTCGGCAAGACTCGGGCGCCATTCTCGGTGTTGCTAGGGGAGCTGCGAGGGGTGGTATGGCTGTCATCCTTGTGTCCTATGTGTGGCTACCCCTGCGGGGCTCTCCTTACAAGGCCATGAGTGTGTGCGTACGTCTGACAGCCCTAGACAGCACCACTCCAAAGAGGTCTGCGTGTGTGTGCGTGTGTGCACGTACCCCACAGGACACTAGACTGCTGGTCACACGTGTGCCCACATCTGTGTATTTCTGACCGGGACAAGGCAGCTGGTCACCCCCAGGCAACATGTCACCTGCGTGGACATTTCCTGTTGTCATCCCCCATCACCCGTGCCTTCTAGGACCTGAGGTCCTGTCTCTCAACCTAGAGCAGGAGTCCCCAAAGGGACTGGTCCTTTGCCTGTGATGCCCCCAGGCCCAGGGCCTTACCCCAAACACTCACCTGAGGCCTGAAATCCAAGCGGGCCTAGGGAAAGAAAGGCTCTAGAGTGTTGCCATGGATACCAGCACCCAGAAGGGGAGGGGCTGTTTGTTACCAGGAGCTTCCAGGGAAACCCCAGACCAGGGCCCTTAGTGAGCTTTGGGCCCACCTCCCAACCCAGCCTGAAGGAGAAACCGAAAGGCTGGGTTGTTACCCAGATGGCCTTCGCGGGCTCAGGGGACCATGGAGCAACGAGCAGGCCCTGCCATGCTCACAGACTCACAGACGGTCACACACTCAGTCTGCCACCCCAGCCAACCTTGGGGAGGCTCCCACAGTCCCTCCTCACCCTCACTGTGGCAGCAGGCAGGTACTGAGGGCACAGCTGCCCGGTGTATGGGGGCTTACCGGACTCTATCCATCAGTGAGCCCCCCCAAGTGCTTCCCACAGCATCTTCCCACTCAGAGGCTGATGCCCACCTACGTAAACCCCAAGTCAGAAGCCTGTCCTCCTCCAGTCCATCTCCCACCTTGGGGAGCCCTGGGGACAGCATCAGAACTATGACAACAGTTCCCTCTGCCCCAGAACACAAGTGAGGCACCAGATCCGACACACAGGCCATTGTCCTCCAGCCTTCACCTCATTCCTTAAGATCCTCAACTCTGCTTTTCCCCGGGACTTCCTGAGCTGGGGAGGACCCCCCCATGGCCCATTGTGAGGAGGCAGAGCAGGCTCCCAACGCCCGATCCACAGACAGCACGGAGGCTGTGAGGGACCCTGGCTGCTGGGCTGGCTGAGGTTCTCAGGCTCAGGGTGCCCACGTGTCCACAAGTCGCGGGGGCGCCGGGCCCCACTGGGGGCAGGGAGGGGTGCGGGCAAAGAGCCCAGGGTCTTTGTCTTGCTCTGTCCCCAGCAGCTTCAGAGCAGCCTTCTCCCCCATCAGGACCGCCGGGCTGGCGGCAGCCAGAGAGGGCCCGCGCCCGCCACCCGGCTCCCACAGCGCCCCCGCCCTCGGGACGGTGCCGGGTCGGGGGGCGGGGGCGGGTCCTGGCCTTGCGGGCCGCGCCCGCCCCTCTACGGGCAGAGATCGCAGGGTCCCAGACCGGTGCCCCCTCCCTCGGCAGGAGACGCATGGGACTGGGAGGCTTCCGAGGAAGCGGGCCCGGAAGCGGAGCCAAACACCTGTGCCGCGCGCCGCCAGCCGGCCTGGAGCGCTTCCGCGTCGCTCGCGGTCTTCAGGCGTGCGTGGACGAGGCCCGGCCCGCCCCTCCGCGCCGCCGAGCTCCGCCCACACCTGGGCGCCGCCGGGGGCGGGGCGGGCGGGGAGCCAATGGGAGGGGCGGGGCGCAGGCGGGGTGGCCAATGGGCTTTGGCTCAGGGCGGGCGGTGCGACCCTGGAAGCCAATAGGAGGGCGAGGGGCGGGGCCCTCGGGCTGCGGGCCAATGGAGTGGCGAGCCGGAGCTCGCCCGCGGCGCTGGAGGCGGCAGGTTGCGGCGGCGCCGGGCTCGGGGAAGCAGCCAGTTCGAGTCTGGGTTCCGGAGGCCAGCGAGCGCCCAGGTGAGCCGCTCAGGGGCCCGGGTCCTCCTGCGTGCGGGGCGCGGCCTCGGGCGGCAACTCCGACGGAGGGACGCGGGCTGGGCCTCCGTGGGGGCCGCGCCGCACCTGCAGCGGCCCCGCGGCGGCGACGGCGGCCGGGGGTGGGGGGCGAGCGCAGCGGCTGGAGGGAGCGGCCAGGGCGCTGTCCGCCCCGGCGAGGGCCGCCCCGGCGCGGTTCCCCGGCTCCAGAGGGCCGAGGTCGGAGTGGCGGGGAAGGGGCGTTCCCATGGCAGCGGGAAGCCGTGTTTTCGTGAGGGCGCCCTTGGGTGCCCGAGCTCGGCGTCCCGTGGGAGGGGCAGTGCCCTTCGAGCCAGGTGCCTGGGGAGGCAGGAAGTGCTGGATCTGGTTAATGATTCGCCTGGTTCCGGGGAGTGGGGCGGGGCAAGAGGAGGCTGGGCAGTGGGGGAGCTTCAGAGTGCTCCCGGAGGGCACACTGGTTACCCCTTGGGGGGGCTGGTCGTGCCTCCACCCCCGCAGTGTATGACCTGCGTGTGGGGCTAGGCTATAGGAGGGCAGGACTGACATGAGGTGGGGGGCGCGCAGTAGCCCTGAACCACTTCTGGGAGGTGAGGAGAGGAGAAGCCGGCCGTGGTAGGGCCAGGCAGGGCCTGATTCTCTGGCCTTTGTCCTTCCTGCAGGACAGGGATGCTGTCTGGGCTAGCAGCGATGGAGCTGAAGGTGTGGGTGGACGGCATACAGCGCGTGGTCTGTGGGGTCTCAGAGCAAACCACCTGTCAGGAAGTAGTCTTCGCACTAGCCCAAGCAATAGGTGAGTCCTTTCGGGCACAGATAGCCCAACAGGTGCACCTGAGGTGGGGCCTCCTCCGTCCCCTTCCCCACCAAGGCTAGGGCTGACTGCTGATTCCTCTTGCCCTCTCCTAATTTCTCAAGCCAGGTGGATGGAGGGTGGGGTGGTGGGGGCACATCGGCTGACCTGTCTCCTCCTACCCCAGGCCAGACGGGCCGCTTTGTGCTCGTGCAGCGTCTCAGGGAAAAGGAACGGCAGCTGCTGCCCCAAGAGTGTCCAGTGGGTGCCCAGGCCACCTGTGGGCAGTTTGCCAGTGATGTCCAGTTTGTCCTGAGGCGGACAGGGCCCAGCCTTGCTGGGAGGCCCTCCTCAGACAGCTGCCCACCTCCTGAGCGCTGCCCGGTCCGTGCCAGCCTCCCTCCGAAGCCACGGCCAGCCCTGGGCCATGAGCAGCGCAAAGCACGGACCTTCAGCCTCGGGTGCCCCGGACTGGCCCCCAGCCATGCACCACCTGACCCTGTGGCCCCGGTAGCACCAGTCCCAGGCTCCAGTGTAGACCTGCAGGGCCTGGAGCGCAGGGTGCGGAGGAACGCAGCGGAGCTGGGTCAGGAGGCCTTCTGGGAGCAGGAGCTTCGGCGGGAGCAGGCTCGGGAGCGGGAGGGGCAGGCGCGCCTGCAGGCCCTGAGCGCAGCCACCGCAGAGCACGCTGCCCGGCTACAGGCCCTGGATGCCCAGGCCCGTGCCCTGGAGGCGGAGCTCCATCTGGCCTCAGAGGCCCCCGGGCCCCCCTCGCCCACAGCATCTGCAGCAGAACGCCTGCGCCAGGACCTGGCTGCCCAGGAGCGGCAGAGCGCAGAAGTGCAGGGCAGCCTGGCCCTGGTGAGCAGGGCCCTGCAGGCAGCCGAGCACGCCCTACAGGTGAGCCCGCCCTACAGGTGAGCCCGCAGGCCCCCGAGCCCCTGCCAGTGGCCCCAGTGCGAGCGAATTTGGGGACTGGCCTCTAGGTCAGGCCAAGGAGAGCGCGAGGCCATGGAGCCCCGTGGCTGCATCCCCTGAGGGCCCCATGTGCCCCAGGCCCAAGCCCAGGAACTTGAGGAGCTGAACCGAGAGCTGCGTCAGTGCAACCTGCAGGAGTTCATCCAGCAGACGGGGGCTGCACTGCCACCAGCCCCGCGGCCAGACAGGGGCCCCCTCAGCACACAGGTCAGAGTGGTTCCAGAGGGAGCCCAGGGGCGTGGGAGGCCTGGCCCAGCTCCAAGCTGACCTACTCTCCCCACAGGATCTTCTGCCTCCGGCCAGAGAAGAGCCCCTCACGAGAACCCCTCAGAATCCTGCTCTAGTGTCCAGCCTGAGTCCAGAGAGTATGTCTGTCTTCCCCACTTCGGGTGGGCCAGGGCCTTCCTGTCCTCAGTGCCCTCAGCCTGTCCCCTCCCCACAGTTGCCCCAATGAGGCAGAACTCCTGGAGGTAGCAGCTCTGGCCCCAAAATGGACGTCCACTGCCAGCCTGGTCCCGGGCTCCCGTGACACGACGAGCAAGGGCAGCCAAGGCCAGCCTGACCTGGATGACAGGAGAGCTGGTAGTCACAGAGGAGTCGTTCCCCCATGCAGTGGGAAGCCCTGGTGCCCTGGGCCTGAGACAGAGCACCTCAGGGCCCTGGGCTTTCCGCCGTGTGGGGGTGGAGGGAGTCTACCAAGACCCCTGGACAGGCAGGAGGCATGACCAGCTCAGAATGTGCTACACCCCGAAGATCACGGCTCCTTGTGGGGGATGGGAGACGTGTGGACACTGCTCAGCTGTGGGTGTGTGCTTGTGTGTGGGAGGTAGCCTTCTTTGAGCCTGCGTACACACATGGGCATGCCACCTCCCCTACTCCAACCCTAAAACCTCAATAAACTGCCCAGAATGGCTTCGGTGCGTCCTGAAGCTGTACCGGACAGGGTCTGTGGGCCCTAAAACTTGAGACCAGCCAGGGTCACTGGGGAGTCCCCCAAGCTACCTGGGTCTGGCCACGACCAGGGCTCTTGAGAAAGGGGTCTCCCAGGGACCAGTGGTCAGTTGGGCCCCAAACTGGGGCTTGTAGGGCCTCACATTTCCAGCTGCTGTGCCCATCCCCACCCAGGGGCTCTCCTTCGCAGCCCAAGCCTGGATTGAGAGTTGCATAGTATAGGGCCTTAGTGCAGCCTCAGGCCTGGTCTGGGTGTCTGTGTGGGCCCTCTCCTGACTGGCTCCCCTCCTCTGACCTACTCCTCACCAGTAGCAGGAGCTGCCACTGCATGGAGATGGTTCCTGGACAAGAGGACTCAGGGACGTGCCAGACCTGCCTATCAGGTTTATTGAGGTTTATGGAGAGCCTGTGAGGGCAGGTCCCCAGACTCCTGCCAGAACCCAGGAGCTCTGCCCAGAGGAGCTCTGTTGGCCCCATAAGGGTGTGGCTGCCCAGCCTTCCACCAGGCCCCCTCTGCTTCCCAGGTCAGTGTGCAGGCTCAAAATTAGGGCAGTGATCACAGTGCTGGGCCTGGGATGGGCTGCAGGCCCCACCTGTGAGCACCGTGGCTGGCACTGGAGCCCTCTGTGATGGTCAGAACACAGGGGCTCGGTACAGCCACACATACTGGGGAACAGGAGATGGAGACATCCTAGATGATGGGAGTCTGTGTTGAGGCTGGGGGTCAGCAACTTTTGGATGGACTCAGCCTTCTAGAGTGGCCCCCGAGTTCAGCCTGGTGTTCTCCTCTTCTGGGGCTGACCATAGGGGACAAAAAGTCTTGAATACAGGAGTGTGGAAGTCACCAAGAGCAGCTGTGGGGGAGGGGATTAATGTGGACTGGATACTTCCTGCCCAAGGTGGAACAGGACAGGGAGTGATGCCTGGACAGCAGCAGCAGGGGACTTCTGGCCCAGGCTCCTCACTCCAAAGCCCCCAGCCCTACAGAGCTCCTACCTACGCTCCCACCTGAGCCCACGGTCTATTGCACAGCCACCCACTGGAGACAGGGCTGAGTGCACAGTCACACGGCTATAGTCTGGAATGCAAATGCCGATCATGTTGTGTCCTGGGTGGGAGGGCTGGAGCTGTGGGCAGCAGGCAGTCACCACCAGGTCAAAGAAGCCTGCTCTCCCCACCCACAGCCCTCACCTGTACTCAGGAGGGTTGGATGTTCCTCTGAGCACCTGCCCTGAGCACCAGCACAGGGTCCTCTCCCAAGCGGAGCACACTGGCCGGCACAGGGCAAAGCCAGGTACAGACTGGGAATGAGTCCACTCCCTCCTGGTGTCATGTGCTCTCCCACACCCCAAAGGGAAGCAGTCCTGGTACTGGCAGAGCTTGCACACCCCTGGTCTCCTTTGTCTGTTTCCAAGGAACACCTGTTCCTTCTGAAGACATCGCCAGGGGCCTGTCCCCGGCCTGCTGCTGGCTGAGAAGCTGATGAGCCCTCTTCACCTGGGAAGCGTCCTCAGGTAGCCAGTGTGCCCTGGGCTGGGGGAGGGCGCAGAACCTTCCACCTCTGTGGCTGTTCCAGGTGCACAAAATCCCGTACCCCCCAAAAGCGGCCACAAGTGCTTCAAATCATAAGCGAACGCTGGGGCTGTTGAGAAGTTTACTTTGGAGCTTTAAGCTGCACTTTGAGA